AAATGATCAAATGCCGGTCCTTTTACACTAAAATAATATGGTCATCGCGACTGGCACCATGTGATGGCTTTTGCATGTGCTACTCCACAACAAGCCTCATGAGCCATGAGCCTCTTGGACAAGAACAAGAGTTCATTTTTGACAAACTCAGATATAAACTATACTTTCCTACTTGCCATATATCCTCGCATATAATCTGATCCCCTAAAAACACCCTTAAAGCGGGGAATCGTTTTTAGTGAAAATTGATATTGCGCACACATCCTAGCGCCCTTCGTCCACGTTTTGATTGAAAACATTTTTCGATTATGACCTATTTTAAAAAGTAAACAAATAGCCCGTGGAGCCCCTGAGTTTCTCATTCAGAACCATGGGCACTTTGAGAACCTATGTTCTAGTGAACATATTTATCGGGTGGTTTCACGTCTTCTTTGCAGACATGACTCTAGCTCAGGGGTGGGTAAGGTTTTTAAACCCAGGGGCCAATAATTTTACCTACTGAGACTGGCGGGCCAAGTAAGTGTGACTTCCATTTTATGAACAATGTTTGCAGTGTTACAAACGCAAAATTGGAAAACAATGGGCCTCGTGCCAAAACTAAATTTCTCTGCAATTTCAACCAATTCCTTGAGCTATTTTTTAGGTAAAACATCAAAATTTGGTTTCTGTTTGATTGTGGCAGCATCAGGCTGGCCAGATTGAATTACCCAACGGGCTGTAGTTTTCTTATGCCAGCTCTAGCTAATCAGTCAGAATATAGGAGCAGCTATTATGTTGTTGCTAGGTTCATTCTGGTTTGGGATATGACTTATCTATCTATAAGACATCCTGGGTTGGGTGGTGGGTGTGAGTTGTCACCCGAGACCCAGTGTTCACTTCAAGAAAATTATGAGTATGTGCGTTTCTCACAATCCAGAAACTAAAAAAGTCAAATCTTTCCTAACTGTTTTAATAACATTATAATATTGAAATCTTGCATGCTGCAAAGTTTCTGATTTTATTGTTTGGAGATAAAGTCAACTAAAATTAACATGCAACTCCGGTTTCTGGTGTTCACTTTGAAAAATTTTGAGTAGCAGAAAAACTGAAATTCTGTTTTCTGGTTTGATTTACCAAAAAAAATTTGGTTTCTTAGGAGTGCATGCTGCGTCACAAGCCAAAAAATAAAGTGCAAACGTATGGTTACTAGTTTAATTTAATGAACCTTGGGTATCTGGTGCTAAAAAAATTCTGTTGTGTAAAGGAACTGAAGCCTATGGGCAGGCGTATATTCGCTTGGCTAACACAGACAATCCCCGAACTCGTAATTGAACTAAAATGAGGAAAATCGGAATCTGGTACACAAACTTTTTGTTATAACCTATTTTAAACAGCATAGGTACTCTATTATTTCCACTTCTCTCATACCTTTGCTTTATGATATCGGGGCAATCATAAATTCCTAAAAAATTACGGTCCAAAAATTTTACCACTATTATTAGCAGATGTTATGAGATTTGTATACCCTGGCTGTTAGTTCCCACCACCCTTTTTCTTAACACGACTGAGCGCAAATAAAATCTGTCACTATTATCACCGGATGTCATATCCAGTCTGAATGTCATAAGATCTATTTAACCTGAATTTGCCACATTTGTGTAGCCTTTTTTTCTACATGTCATAAAACCATTGTAAAAATATGACTGCTGACCGCAACAGTTTTGAATTTTTTGGTCAACCACCGAGGTATCACTGTTGTTGTATAGTCAGAATTGACGACGGTGATATCACTTATCTCTATGATTATATACACATACTTATTCCCTACTTATCAGAGCTGGGTCCATGTAGCCACAGTGTTTTTTTGTGGATGGAGGTGGGAAATGGAGCTGAAGCCTGTGCTACCAGAAAATTAGTGACTCCAACTTTTAACCATCTAATTCTTTTTCCAGACTTATAAAACTTCATACAAATAAAATCTGTAGGCATCCTATAATTTTTTCAATTTCGATTTTCTTGTATGAAATTGAAGTTTCAATTTTACAATCTAAAAGTCCCTATAACACAGATTTAACTCTCGCATAACTGTATCTGGATTAATGTGTCATGGTAGTGTTCATACCTAAAAAACATCAGTTACTAAGCTCAGAAGCCAAAAATAAACCAGCAGACCTTGAGTAACATTTGATATATTGTAGCTTCGGAATTAGAGATAGAACCATAGTGATTTCAAACCAGCTTCCCAGCCCTGTAATAAAACTTGAAAATTCACACAAGGATTTCCTGTGCGAAATAGAAAACACGTTTAGTGCGATGCTGATTTAAAATTTAATTTTGCAGAAGCAGGAAGGAAACTCGAGATCATTGTGATTTCATGATCATAGCTGGCTCTGAAGAAATCCCAGTTCATAAGAATATTATATCTGTAGGATCTGATTATTTCAAAGCAATGCTGGCTCATAATGTAAGTTGTGTTTATACTTGGTTATGTGTTTTCTCAGCCATAAACTGTTTCGGTTAGCTAATTCTTTCACAGTTGGTACTGTTACCCTTGTTAATGTGGTTTTAATCGTTGGTATTATCACACTTCAGAATGCTGAGACAGCGTCTGGTAAAGTGGAAATGAAAGAAGTTGATCCATTATCCCTGCAACAATGCGTAGAATATATTTACACTGGTGAATTGTCTACTACTGATGAAAATGCTGAATCTTTGATGTTTGTGGCTGAATTACTACAGTTGAAAGGTGATGATTTAGAATAGATCTTTCTTTTAGATTGGACCGAGGTTCACTCAACACCTCGTGATCCAAATCAACTAGACAATCTTCCACAAATGGATCTATTTGGTGTACATGGGCCTGAATTTCTATTGTTATTCTGGCTAGTTTTTTACTGAACAGAAAACCTGTTGGTTTCTTATCCTATTCAGCTTGGTAATTAATCTGCCATATCATTATTTCTTAACTTTCATTTCAAGTTCAACATGGTGACCCGAGGCAAACAGAATTTATGAATCACCTTCACGAAAACGAGGAAAATTTAATTAATAATTTAACTTTGTTTGAGTATGATTGCACCCAAAAGTTTTGGTAATCTAAGATGCTTTGCGCAAAAGTTATGATTCAAATGACCTGAGTTCTGTTTTTTTTGGCCACCTTGTAATCATTCCTCTACATTGCAAGGAAAGGTTCCGAAATAACTAAGAAAAGCCAAAAGCTCTGGGGGGCAAATCAAAATAGATGTTTGATTGTTCAATGATAAATGTTTAAATATATATAATATAACTTCATGTATGTTTTTTTTTAAACAGATGTCTGTGAAAGCATCGTTGATTCACTCGAAGAAAATCTTGAATCGTCTTCGGAATCATTCTTTGCGACAAAAAGAATCGCAAACCTGTACAATTACAAAGAATTGATGGAAAAATGCGAGAAGTTCATGCTGGATAAATTTGAAGAAATTGTAGTTCTTGATGAGTTCAAGGAAATAGAGGAAAAGGGATTTGTTGGATTGATCAAATCACAAGAAAACAAGGTATTTGCAGTGTTTTGTTTCAAATCTTCATTTTGAAAATACTTTATACAAGTAGTCACTCATTCGGACAAGGTTTTAGATTCTCAAGGTTTTAAATTCTTTTCATGATACAAGCAGCCATTCAACCTTCTGACTTGGTGGAACGCACTGCTTTACTGTATAGCAGGGGGCCAACACGTTGATCGTCACGTAAGGAACTTCCTGGCTTGGTAGAACACACTGCTTTACTGTATAGCAGGGGGTTGCCAACAAATCGATCGCCACGTCTCGAGTAGTCGATCGCGTCTGATGTTGTGTGAATTTAATAACATGCCCCCAAAAGTTACCTCTAACCAGTTTCATGCAGCGCCTGTTATGTTTCTTATAACAGTAAGAATATGGTACTGCACATGCGCAAAGTACAGTACATTTTACATCCATGGTATTTGAGTCTGGGCAAGCCTAATAGAGCATATTATTTCGCAACAAATGCAAGTTTCGCCGCTGCCAAGGTTTAGAAATGAACGTGGCAATTACTTATATTTGGCGTGGCATAAACATTTTTGCATATGCCATTCCTGACACTCACCTGGCTCCGTCATCCAAATTTTTATGTTACTTCGACCTCACAATCACGCCAAACAGCTTGCCAGAGTACGACCGCCTGAAATGGCATCTTCGCCAACCATCACGAACTCACTAACGCCAGCAATTTTTCTCATATTGGAAACGGTGCGACGAGAAAACAAGTGAAATACTATGCTCGATTTTAGGTGATCGTGTGCGCGTCTTGGATGAGAGTTAGTCTAATTCAGGGAGCCTTATTACGTTGCTTTGATGTCATAGCGACATAATTTTCAAATGACATAATTTGTTGGGGTCTTGGAATAGAAGTAGAATAGAAGTACTTAATTTGTGTTATGAACATGGCCTGAATATTCTATATTGAATATTTTCGATGTTCTGTATTCTTTCTAGGCATCAGAGAGTGTGAAGCTGAAGGCTTTGATATCTTGGATAAAACATGAGCAAAGAAATCGCAAAAAACTTCTGAAGAAATTGAACAACTACATTGATTTGCATAAAGTACCGGTGACTTACAGAAGATTTCTTGTTGAAAACGAGGTCGGTTATTTTCGAATTGATATTTTTAAACCATTTATTTTTGCATCTTGCAATCTTTCATTTAAACTTTGACTTTGAATAGATAATTAAGAATTATCTTACAAAAGACCAGGGCTCATTCTTTGGCAAGTTTTAATATTGCAACTTATTCTTAAATTACCAAGAGTCTAAGTCCGAGTTAATTTTTTTTTCGGAGTTGGAATTCCAGTCACGAAAAAGTCTCTCCTTGTGCCAGAATTTTGTGACCTATTCTTTCTTTTTTTGGTGATTGAGTGAATGTTCGAATTTTCTTAAAAAAAGTAAAATATTCCTAGATTCCAGATAAAAAAAAATTCTCATATCATTTAATATTTATGAGATGACATAACACCTTTCGGTTGTTTCAGCCAATGGTGAAGTCATGTCATGAATGCTATCAGACTCTATGCATCTCTATGTTGGACAGCTTAAACGTTTGTGCTTCAGATGTTCCTTCTGTTGAGAACATAAAACAAGAAGATAAAGAAGCAAGTAAGTTGAGTTAACATGTAGACAACCACTTGTCAGCTGAAACTTGGAAATTTACGCAACTGTGGATTGGTTCTGATTTGAACGATTCTATTGTTTGTTGTCTTTGCTTTCCCTTTCTGATACAAACTTTATTTCTTACAGTCGCAGTGTTCGATAAAAACTCAATGAGCCTACAATGCTTTAATCCTCGGAATAATACTTGGACAAAAATGCAGGTTGGTATTTGACAACCTTCAACTCGGGTATCTCAGTCTAATCGAGCTGTACACAGAAAATATCATTTATTAGTTTCCATTGATGCGTCACATATTTTATTTTAACGAGAGACTGTGTTTGACCATCTTATCACCTTTTGTATTTCACCTTTTTAGGATTGATTTAAACGCATTGCCTTGATGGTGGGAGAATATATAAGAATTCATCATATATACAATGAGTGTAAAAAATGTGACCGAGCTAAACTGGAAAGAAACGTATTTCCTAACACACAACAACGTTAAAACCACAATGTCTGATGTGTTTAAGTAATACCAGTCACGAAAGGATATAATTTTAAGCGACATTACAAAACCAAACACAAGACAAGATACCGAAAATACCACAGCATTTCTCTGGAAACAATTTTAAAATAACAGATTTTATATATCTTTCTTAAAAAAATGAGTTAGGTCTCCGAGGCTCCTGGCCCTTGCTGTATATAAGTAATTAAACAGATATAGCTTCAGCAATGAAGAATCCTCTCGCACATAACCATCTCGGCATGGAGTTCGAGCCTGCGATGTGCCACACGTGGAACGATGGACGATTATTTGAGCGGTATCAGATTCTCTCATCCCGCCACACTCATTTATCTTTATCTACATTTGACAACGATTTCTTCAATGTAATATTGTTTATTGAAATTTTCTAGAACATGCCTGGATCAGGAATTAACTTTTCTGCTGTGGCTATTGGTGCCTACATTTATGTTCTCATGAAAGATCGATCTGTTCATCGACTGAAACACTCAGATCATGAAGCTACTTGGGAGAGAATGAATGATATGATGTATGAACATGGGCCGTGTCCTCCTGTTGCTGTTTTGTCTGGTAAGAATTGCTTCAAAAAATATTTTGCTAAACAATATCTTGTTACCTTTGCCTCAAGACTAGTAATTGAGTTTTTCAAATATCCTGTTGCGGTTTTATTAGGTGAGAAGTTGCCTCAAGAATTCTTGGTACTGGTCTGTTTAAGGATTTAATGAAAAACATATTTTAGGAGCATTTGGTACCTAATTCCAGTTCAGCCTTGTATTGTAATTTGTAACTATATCACTTCATTGTGGGTGACCCAAAATTCTTCTGAGCGCTTTGTGCACAAAATACTGATAATTTTTTTCTGATTTGTAAAACTAGTCATTTAATTAATCAAAGTGTACAAATGCAAAATATATTTTTCATATTAACACCATTGAAGAATTATAACACAATCTATTTGTGTAAGAAATAGTAGTTGCTTCGTAAGATCATATATTTGAGTTCAGGAAAATAAATACAAAAATTGCAAAAATAGTTAGGATTGAGTTACATTGCTAAAACACGCTTATCTGGAATTGAAAGGCCAAAGGACTTGAGTTTATCATACAACACACTAACACTCCTGTTTTAAGATTAGTAGTTTATTTGTGTTTGTATATATCCCATGAAAACTTTTTTTTATTTTTGGTTATGTTTTGTCTTCCATTTCTATTGTGTTATCCAGTGTTCACTATTAGCGCACTTTTTTGCGAAAATTGCGAAGCACTTTCGCAACTTTTTTTAGGGACTGCGAAATAGCACTTTTTTCCGATTTTGAAGAAAAATAGCACTTTTTTTCCGATTTTGAATGGAATAAAAATTCAAAGTTAACAAATATTTTCGAGTAAAGTCGACAAATAAGCAACATACTAGTACTTTTGTAACTCAATTCTGCATATCATAACGATATTTACCGGAATTCTAACCTATGAGATGCAGACATAGGAGATGAAGCTTTTGCATTAACGGCAAAATTCTTGTTTATAATATGATTATTATACAAGCACACCGATTCCGCTTCTCCCGCAAAAAACGCTCTCGGGTGATTGAAACCAGATGTTGGAATAATATGCAGTGCGTTTCTTTGAAGAGAGTGGTCATGTGACTATCAATGATATCGATGAATTCAAAATGACAAAAGTGTTATGTGTTATAGTCACTTTGGATGAATTGTGACCAAACTGCACGATTTTCAAATCAGACGAAACTTTTAGCAGCATGTCACAGATTTGCAAAATCACCAAATTCACAAAATACCATTAAGTGCCATTTTATTGTAATCACAATGTTGAAAGGAGTGGCATTTTCCGTAATTTTGCGATATTTACACAACTATTTCTCATTGATATGGGAGGACGGGTGGGCAAAATTCAATATTTTTTTGAAGGAGTACCGAATAAACGTGGTGAATACATTAAAAAATCGGCAACAAAGCCTTTTTACTGGTTAATTCCGTTGTAATCGCTAATTGTTCTAGTCACCGATCGTTTTGGCGGCGATATCCAGGTTTTGGGTAATCTATATTCCCGCCCTCTCTTTTTTACAAATATGAATTCTTGTGGGTCGGCGGACATCGAAGTTTTATATTTCGGGTTTACCCGTTCGTTCACATCGGCAACAGCTGTTGAAGACATTGAGGACTCAAATTAACATTTACGTTGGCTTTAATATTACCTATCAAGATTTGTAAATTTACCGTCCCAATTTTATGCGAATGGTAATATTATTGTCCATACCGTGATGCAGATATTTATTAAGACGATAATTAACTTTCTCATGTATTTCTATGGTGATAAACTTCGCAAATCTGAAATTGTGCCAATCCTGAATGTTGATTTAAAATAGTGATTGAATAATTCGGCAATGAAGGCATTTTTGCTGGTCATAAGACGAGATGACGTTAATGAACAGCACTTCTTTTACAGGATATTTTATGTATGCGACTTAATGCTAAAAAGATTGGGCTCGAGTGCTTTTTTTTCGAGTGCTCGAGTGTTTAATAGAGGTCAGGCGCTAATTGTAACTAATTCCCTCAAGTTTCAACGTGTTTTCAACAAAACAATACCCGGCGATAATTATAGCTAAAATGTTACCGAGCAATTCACAATTTTATTTATGGAATTTGCAAATTCCCCAGTTTCTTGACGATTTTGATATTGTCACGCCCTAATTATTAGTGCAAAAATACTCCCCTTCTTCCGCGGCGGTTTGATGGGTTCTTTATTCCATTCTTCAGAAAGTTCTGACAGGGGAGATATAGAATACTGAATCCGGAGGGTTGAATCCCTGTCCACTTACTGGTGATTTTCCGTTTCGAAATGCGTGAAACATTCCCTATTTTAAATTAAATGACGTTTCGCGGGCTAGAGTTCTCCCCGAAAATGATGTGCTCCAGACGTTAGTTAGACGATAGATAAAACATTAGATTAATAATTTTCGTGACGCCCCGTTTTCGAAAATACAAAGTTATATCGCAAAAAATGCGTTATGATACATTTGGAATGAAACATTATTTACGGTTAATTCAGATCATATTTTACTCATCATGACACCCGGTATCCGAAAATACAGTTGTATCTCGAAAAATGTGTTTTGTTACATTTAAAATAAAACATTTTTGCGTATAATTTAGATCATATTTTACTTTTCAGGACACCCGTTTTCGAAAATACAAGGTTATATCGCAAAATGTGTTTTGTTACATTTAAAATAAAACATTTTTGCGATTAATTAAGATCAAATTTTACCTTTCACGGCAACCCGTTTTCAAAAATACAAAGTTATATCACAAAAAATGCGTTTTGTTACATTTATTTTGCATTCCCAATAAAATACATATTTTCCCTAATTAAGGTCGTCGATGAATCTGTTCCTGTCGTTCAAGCTCGACACACGTTTGGACGAGTGTGGGGCGGTTTTTTGGTCGACGATAAATTAAAAAGTTGCCACACGTTATTTGTATAACGATAATAACTGAAAATTAAGATTTTATAATAGAAATGAATTTGTCTCAAGATGGTATTTTACGATTCCTGCCAACAGAAAATAAACACGCTGACAGGCTTGGTTATAACTGATATTCGTTTAATTTATTTTACACTATTAATAAACGCGCCAGACCAATTGCGACCATATAAATTGCAGTCGCATCGGTATGGACTGTATGTTTTTGGCGCTCTCACATTAATAATAATTTTCAACAAAACAATACCCCGACGGTCATTGAAGCTGAATTCGTTACCGAATAATTCACAATTTTATTTACGGAATTTGCAATTTCAAGATCTCACTTGACGATTTTGATGATGTAATTATTACTGCTTAAATGCCTCAAAATACAACAAATGTAATCATTTTCGACGATAACAGGCGCAACAATTCGTAAACGAGCCGTTATAATGAAATTCGCGATTGATTTTACCTCTCTCTTGTTTACAATTTTAACATCCCGCCGGCCACGTATGGTCGAATAAAATGTTCACATATTCGAAACATGACTTGGCCAAGGATGGAAGGGATCACTAAAGAGCTAATAGAAAGTACATACGCGAGGGTATGATATTAATATCGAGAATATTTGTGAGCATATCACAGGACGGAAATATTTTGCACCCGGCTGTTTGTTGGCAGAACAACGATACGCTAAAGTTAATTGATCGAATACAGGGAAGTATTTATTTATCATTTCACTTGCGAACATCGAGGTTTTGGCAGAATTGTACATCATGTTGTCTTTCTGAAATAATAACTTTTTCAATAAATGTTCATTTTACTTTTGCGTCTTTATTATATGTCGGGTTTTCATTTATTTTAAATTCAAAATTGTCCGAAATACTCCAACAGGTGTATAAGTACAATAATAATAGTACTTACCAGGGAAGTTTAATACACACGATGTGTGAAGGGCGTCGTAACTCCCGTTTATTAATTATAAATTTTGTTTACATTCTGCTTAAAAAACAACGGCAGTCATCTCACGTAACTCTCGCGACCAAATCTTTTTTTGCAGCATTACAAAGAGTGCTATTTATGAATGCTGAAAGTACATGACATTACTAAACATTTTGCCAATATATGAAGTTTTCTGCCCGATTTAAACTAACTCGCACACAAACCAAGGCATGTCGACATTTAAAAATTACTTGTCTTTGGGTAAGCTCTGAAATAGTATAATATAAATGTGAAAGATAATTTAGGTCACGCTAGGTCACGAAACGGGAAGATTTTCAAAGTGATCTTGTGTAATATTTCGGAGAAAAAGGTTTGAAAGAAAAGTAGGTCAACCTATCTCCTAAAACAGGGGAGTATCCTGCGTAATATTTCGGAGGGAACGTAGGTTAACTTATCTTTTAAAACAGCAGGTGGCTACTTTCAAAGTGGTTCAAAATCTCAAATTAATAATTATCAGATTAGGCTTAGGGATAAATCGAAAAGTTGAATTTCCAGCGCACCTAACCCTAATTAGTTGATTGCTATTTATATTTGGAGGGGGGGGGAGATTATTTTGCACGGGATTTGTACAAACGATCCACCCTGTAATTAATATGGTTTCCAGCCTGCCTCGTGTCTGTTAGATGGAAGGAGTAACAAATGTGAAAGTCTTTGCTGTTTACGCGAGTAAGCAACTGACACCGCGAGTAAGCAACTGACACCGTGATGCATGAACGTTTTGTCCCGGAAGGTGTTAGCAGATGTCATTTCGTTGCCGATGAATTCGCTCGTTTTAATTAAACATGAATTCGCTTAGAGGGAACTGGGTTAACGAAAAGGCAGGCTTCTCTTTAATTCATAATATTAACCGGAGGAGCGCTTTTTTGAGTATCTATGCCGTTTTAAATGGGTTATATGAAAGGCTAGGGCACCTAACTTGTTAAAATCGGCAAAAGCACTTTCGCACTTTTTTTTTCGACTGCGAAGCACTTTCGCACTCATAATTTGCTTAGAGTTAACACTGGTGTTATCTATTATTATGACATGATTTATATTTGTATAAATACCACGAGTTTGCTTTGCCCTAGGACAAATAGTTCTTTACTTTATCTTCTAATATTTTTCAAGTATCATTTGCTTTCTATCATTGGTCTGAGATATTTATTGTTTACAGGAAACATATACGTTGTTGGTATTTTCGATAGTTACTCAAAATCAGTTGAAAAGTTTGTTCCATCAAGAAACAAATGGGAAAAAGTAAAAGACAAAAATCTCAACAGTTGTTATTCAACAGCACTGGGTGCTAGAGGTTAGAAGGTGTTGTCTAATAAATAAATGGGTACTCCCGAAATATGTGAATCAAGATGGCGGACACTGGAATGTAGTATGTGTACCAGGTTGGGTTAGGCCATAATTCTAGATACAAATACTTGGATAGTCCCCGAACTCGTAATAGAACTAAAATAGGGAAAATTGGAATAAATTATGGCCTAACCGTAACCTGGTACACATACTAAGTTTCGGTGTCCGCCATCGTAGTTCACATACTTCGGGAGCGCCAAAAAAATGTCATATACATTGAACTGATCCGAAACAGGCAGTCATACAACAGAGTTATAAATGGAATTGTCGCTGGACCATATAACCAACTTAATAAATCTAGCTGGACTAATAAATGCTCTGCTTTACAGTAATAAAGGCATCGGACAAAACGGCGAAGTATTTAACACATTAAAAGGAGCATAAAAACATGTAATTTTACTCATGTGAGCGACTTTTTAAACATAAACTGTCGGATTAGCTCTTTATGCGCGTGATGGGGAAAAATCTGATGGGCGCGTGATGGGCCACACTAGATAGCTTTGCGGACACTAAATAGCTTTGCCTGTTGCAAACCCCCTGGTCTAAGCCAAACAAGAAAAAATTCCGTTTTTAACAGACGAGTAGGTCGTTTCGTATCAGTGGTGGCCTTCACGAAATGTTTTTTAAAACAAACTTGCAATACACTTACGGTAAATAAAAAATGACTGCCAACAGATATCGGATTTATCGTTTGTCCTAAGTTTTCATCGAATACCAGAATGCAGAAAACACTTGAAAGTAATAATCCTTGTATAATTCCAGGTTGTATATACAGCATTGGTGGAAAGGTATCAGGTCGTTACACCAACCAAGTAGAAAGATTTGACCCAACATCATCAACTTGGTCATTTGTTGCATCCATGAATGAAGCAAAGGGATTGGTCGCAGCTGTTGAAAATGAAGGGAATATATATGTTCTAGGTCGGTTGGTGCATGTTGCTAAAAATGTTCGAACCTCAAGAAAAAAATATTTAGTTTTACTTAAAATAGCAATTAACCAGAAAAATTTTAATGATTCAAGATATCAAATGCAATGCCATTATGTTTAAGCATCGTCATAAACTACTAATATTCCATTCATTTTCTTCTGCAAGATCGCAGAATTATATTGTTATGTGACAAATCATGTTCAAATGTTTGTATACCTATATATTTACACGAATGCAAAGGTCAATCCGATAGCCGTGTAAACTGTAAACTCACAAATACTTACGGTGCTGTTGCGTCCGTCTTACCAGAAATTTTAACTAGTTAGGGTTGGAATTCGGAGTGATATTCTGACATTCATACCGGGTCCTAAAATCTTCAGTTCAGGCTAGTTGAATTTTCTGCATTATATTTATCACCTTGCAGTTGTTACCTTCCATCATAGTTCATCATTCCCTTTTTAGTTATGTATCGCTTTGTCTTGTATAGGTGAAATTGTCAGTAGATGGATAAACATTGTTTTGTATCATTTAGGCAAATTGCAAGCAGATATTGAAAAACTGTTTATTTCATCCAGGTGGGAAGGCAAACGATCACTTGACAACAGTTGAACGATATGATATTTCAACGAACGTGTGGTCCACGGTAACTCCCATGTTAACGAAGCGGAGCTGGTTCAGTGCTTTTGTGATTGATTCAAATATTTACGCAGTTGAAGGAATGTATAGGTAGAGGTATTGAAATTTATTACAACATAGTAGTGAGCACTAGTCTCTATTTCTGGAGATTTTGTTCCGAAATACCTATTCACAAATAAATATTTGTTCGCCTGTATTCGCCCCTTCACTACAAGCTTAGGGCCAATCTAGCCAGAGTCTATCTATATTGTCGACCCTTGCAGAAATAAACAGAAATCTTTATATTTTTGTGAATTTATTCATAACTTTGGATAGATGATAGAATTTGGTTTGAGCTTAACTCTTTGTTCAGATAGAAGAAGCAGTATATTCATATTGCTGCCTAGGTATTTTGAATCAGAGTCTCCAACCTGCAGTATCTGGTCATTCATACTTTTTATCATATAAGGTCGAGTCGATATAAAAATTGAATATTTTTTTTCAATGAATAGCCTAGCAACCATTTGTCTTGCAGAACTGAAATAATCTTCTCTCTGTATTTTTCAGTTTACCAGGAAGCATGGAGATGTTTGATTTCAAGAAGTACCAATGGGAGATGATTGACATGAAGAACATGAATCTGAGGATACTCGGTGCAGTGAAGATGAATTTGAAGTGATTTGATTGTATATAACAGAGAACAGTTCCTTGTATTACCATTAAAGGACATGCTAGTAGTTTATGTTTGCAATCTTACTATAAATTGTATATTATACTTGACATTTCATAGGTGCTTGTGTTACCACTGAGTGAATTTTGTATACTTCTATAATGAGTTCCTGCATTACTTACTGTATAATTCAAATAGTTGTCTTAAATATAATTCACATATGGCATTGAGATATGCTTAGAACTGATGCAGAAGAAATTTCTTATGAATGGTTTGGTTTTATTCAACACCCTATAATTGTTTGTATCATTTCTGAACGAATTCTAATCATAACACTGATATGTAGTCACAAAATTTACGCCCTGGTAGAAAAAAATAGTCTTGGTTGATGAACATTTCGGCTGCTTTTCTCAACGGCTAAAAAACAGAGTTTATAAACCTTACATTAGCCACGACTCCACAGCCCTGATTTAGCTTGCTTATCATTTAAAGTTAATTTTTGGCAAATGGAGTGGGATTCTATATCCTTGTTATGTGAAATTTGTCACCAATATCATAGATCGTTGGAAGCGAGTGTTATATACAGTCAGTGGCCAGTAAAAATTAGGTTAATTTATTACACCTATTCAGTTTTTAATGCCATTCGATATTATCTTGGCATGAAACATTGTCGTGTGCATTCTTCAAGCGGTTTCTTCTTCAATTGAATTTACTCATCAATCTCTTGACAAAAATCTGTGAATCAATTGCAATTTATTTGTTATCAGATGACTTAACTGCATAATGTGATATTAATAATATTTTCCTCAAAGTTCATCTTTAATATCCAGTGCATTGATGCTTCAAATAAACCTTATACCTATTATCCGCAGTATTCATATTTGTATGTTTATTGTGGTACATATTGAATTTTGCTTTCAGTATATACTAATGATTTCAAATATTTTCATCTTTGCTGTATATTTTATCGCATTTATGCAATCAATACTTTACTACCATGCATCTAACGCTGAATTCAATTCTTCATTTTTTTTATCTGATTTTAAAATCCACTGCATGATCCGCCGGTTTGTCTTTTTAATCACATAGTTTGAATTGATTACGTTTGATGCATTCCAAATGTTTGAACTTTACATTGTGACAGAACTTTATTAAATAAACTAACGAATTAATTAATTTTTCCATTTCTCAAATTCCATGTCATTTGGAGGATTGCTTTGTTTTTCAACGAAAATTTGTTTCTTTGGTATCAAGTAGGAATTTATTGCTGTTGAACCTGGAAAAGACGATTGCACTTTCAAAAAATTTGTTATCATTTAATTCAATTTATATTTATGAAGAAGAGGAATTCAGAATCAAAAATTTTACAAACTATTTACTTTTGTGAAAGTAAAATAATTTTGATCTTTAATTAATAAGCTTTCAAAATGAAAACAATATTTTAGCTCAGTCGTCTGGTTTATTCTCGGGGACGTTCGAAACTTTACTGAAAACTACCAAATAAACTCGAAATTAGGAAAACAAATGAATGTTTATAACCAAGCTTGGAATTCTGTCCCAATGTGAAATGCGACTGTTACATCGTTGTAATCTTACTGCTGATGTGTTTAATATCAAGTAAGTCGATCCAGAAAACAAGCTGCCACACGAACACATTCAAGTACATGCATAATACAGCAGGGATACGGCCTGTAATAAAATGTTCGATCATTCCCTGATCAAATATCGTGGAAAGGCTACTTATGAATATTGTCAATAAAATAAATATAATATATGCGGTATATGCAAGTAATCGCTGTTACTTTGAAAAACCTATGTGACTCCTATTTACATGGAGAAAGAAATTGACATACGTCCGTCTTTTGGTTTGTTTACGTCAGAATTTTAAAACTATTTCGTTTACGTCCGCTTCTTATTGGCCAATAAATGAGTAAGTACTGGCCAATTGGCCATCATTGAAATCATATACAATTATGGTGGAGCGTTGTGCGCCAGTAAACAGCTATGAGATACTGTGCAACTAAAGCTTTTGAAAAATTTATGGCATAAAATTTTTTTTTCATTGGGCTACGCTAAAATACTTCATGACGCGAAGACGTAACAGTGATGATTACAAATCAAGTGTGAACTCAAGCGATAAATATCGACGAGAACGGTGAAGAAACCGAACTTTCACTGATTTTGTGTGACCATCTAAATGACCAACAACGTATAGGTTTCCTGTAAACAATTCATATCACAGACCAATGGTAGAAAGCAAATGATACTTGAAAAATAATAGAAGATAAAGTAAAGAACATATGTCATAATAATAGATAACACAATGACAAAACATTGAGATATATTCAAACATGTAACTAGTAATCTTAAAACAGGAGTGTTAGTGTTTTGTATAATAAACTCGAGTCCTTTGGTCTTTCAAGTCCGGATCTGTGAGTTTTAGCAAGGAAACTCAATCCTAATTATTTCGGCAATTTTTATATATGTATGCAATATATGATCTTATGAAACAACAACGATTTCTTACACAGATAGATTGTGTTATAATTCTTCAATGGTGGTAATATGAAAATATATTTTGTATTTTTACACTTCGATTAAGTGACAAGTTTTACAAATCAGAATAAAATTATCAGTATTTGGTGTACAGAGCGCTCAGAAGAATTTTGGGTCACCCACAATGAAGTGATATAGTTACAATACAAAGCTGAACTGGAATTAGATATCAAATGCTATTAAAATATGTTTTTCATTAAATGCTTAAACAGACCAGTACTAAGAACTCTTGAGGCAACTTCTCACCTAATAAAACAGCAACAGGAGGACAAGGCCCATGGTCATACATCATATCTTTAATTCTCTCCCAAGTAGCTTCATGATCTGAGTATTTCAGCCGATGAACAGATCGATCAATCATGAGAACATAAATGTAGTCACCAAGAGCCACAGCAGAAAAGTCAGTTTCTGATCCAGGCATGTTCTGGAAAATTTCAATAAACAATATTGTATTGAAGAAATCGTTGTCAAATGTAGATACGGATGAATGGGTGTGGCGGGATGAGAGAATCTAATCCCATTCGAATATTCGTCCTAAAAATGCCTTGTCCACAGATGGCACTTCATGCCAAGCGTTAGGAATACGCTCTCCACCTCATCTCTGATTACCCTGCGCAGTCGCAGGTTAAAAATCCATTACTGGATGGTTATGTGCAGGAGGATAGTTGGACTCATGGCCGATGTAGAGTATTTAACGTTACCGCGGGTCGGTTTCGGCTTCCTCCACCATCCAGTCAATGCTTGCAAAAAACTAATCCCATGCCCGACATGGACGGGTAAACGGACAAGACGCCATGGTTAGCCATATGACTAAGCTGGCTTATCAGCTTTCCTCTTCCTTGGGATAAATATGTAAATCCTATATCACATACGTACAAGTCAGGTATCTGACTTTAAATTTATCCCGAGAAAGGGAAAATCAAAAGCTGATAAGATGGCCAAGAACAGTCGAAATAAAATAAGTAATGCATTAATACAATATGTGGAACTACCACAACCATATCTTGCAATCCAATCGCATAAAAACACAAGCTTTGAGCATTTCTTTTATCATCTGGAGTAATAATGAAGACTAATGAATGATATTTTCTCTGTACAGTACGATTAGACAAAGATACAAGAGTTGAAGGTTGTCAAATACTAACCTGCATTTTTGTCCAAGAACTATTCCGAGGATCAAAGCATTGTAGGCTATTTGAATTACAATCAAACACTGCAACTGTAAAAAATAAAGTTTGTATCAGAAAGGAAAAGCAAAAATAACATCGTTCGAACCAGAACCTATCCCCAAATGAGTAAGTTTCTGAGTTTCAGATGACTAATGGTATTCTATATTTTCTACATCTTAATTCAACTTACTGCAGTACTGGCTTCTTTTCCTTGTTGTTTTATATTCTCAGCAGAGTGAACATCTGAAGCACCAACGTTTAAGCTGTCCATCACAGATATGAGTAGAGTGTGAGACTCTGAAGTGGACTCTATTTAGTAGCCACTCATACAACGGTACGAGGCTTTAATGCTTAACATACCTGGATCGCCACTCATTCGTAAGGAATTACCTGGCTTGGAAGCGCACTGTATTTCTACCTTATTTCTCACTCCAGTTGTGATGATAAGATTGGACTGAACAAATGAGTTCTCACCCTTGAAATCCTGCTCCAGCCTGCTGACCACTTGCTTTCTTATCCAACCAATATTCAAGCAAGGAATTTAAGCATCCTAATGTCTTGGATTACAGCATGAATCCTAAGTGTTTTTTTCTGTAAATTATTAGATACAAGTGAATTTTAATGTTTCACATATTCTGTATTCCTTCCAGGCATCAGAGAGTGTCAAGTTAAAAGCGTTGATATCTTGGATAAAACATGAGCAAAGAAATCGCAAAAAACTTCTGAAGAAATTGAACAACTACATTGATTTGCATAAAGTACCAGTGACTTATAGAAGATTTCTTGTTGAAAACGAGGTCGGTTATTTGAAATTGATACTTTTAAACCATTCATTATTGCAACATGTTAATGATTGTGAATATGTTATTTGGATTTTATCTGACTAATAAACAGCGCCGTGGGATTGGAGTTTGGAATATTGTATTACCCTTTATTTTCAAACTGAAAGCCAGAGCGAAGTTTTAGTTAAAAAATCTTGCATGTGCCAAAGATTCTTTTTCGTATAAATTTGGTTTTCACAAAGTTCGGAGCTTGAGTGTTTCAAGTTCTTCAACCTAGGGCCGCGGTAAACTATTCCCAGACCTACTATTCCCGCGGCATAAATTTCCTCCTCCTGCATCATTTAGTATTCATTATTTACACATAACATACTGTACTTTGTTTGTTTCAGCCAATGGTAAAGTCTTGTCCTGAATGCTCTCACACTCTACTCATATCTGTGATGGACAGCTTAAACGTTGGTGCTTCAGATGTTCACTCTGCTGAGAATATAAAACAACAAGGAAAAGAAGCCAGTACTGCAGTAAGTTGAATTAAGATGTAGAAAATATAGAATACCATTAGTCATCTGAAACTCAGAAACTTACTCATTTGGGGATAGGTTCTGGTTCGAACGATGTTATTTTTGATTTTCCTTTCTGATACAAACTTTATTTTTTACAGTTGCAGTGTTTGATTGTAATTCAAATAGCCTACAATGCTTTGATCCTCGAATAGTTCTTGGACAAAAATGCAGGTTAGTATTTGACAACCTTCAACTCTTGTATCTTTGTCTAATCGTACTGTACAGAGAAAATATCATTCATTAGTCTTCATTATTACTCCAGATGATAAAAGAAATGCTCAAAGCTTGTGTTTTTATGCGATTGGATTGCAAGATATGGTTGTGGTAGTTCCACATATTGTATTAATGCATTACTTATTTTATTTCGACTGTTCTTGGCCATCTTATCAGCTTTTGATTTTCCCTTTCTCGGGATAAATTTAAAGTCAGATACCTGACTTGTACGTATGTGATATAGGATTTACATATTTATCCCAAGGAAGAGGAAAGCTGATAAGCCAGCTTAATCATATGGCTAACCATGGCGTCTTGTCCGTTTACCCGTCCATGTCGGGCATGGGATTAGTTTTTTGCAAGCATTGACTGGATGGTGGAGGAAGCCGTAACCGACCCGCGGTAACGTGAACCACTCTACATCGGCCATGAGTCCAACTATCCTCCTGCACATAACCATCCAGTAATGGATTTTTAACCTGCGACTGCGCAGGGTAATCAGAGATGAGGTGGAGAGCGTATTCCTAACGCTTGGCATGAAGTGCCATCTGTGGACAAGGCATTTTTAGGACGAATATTCGAATGGGATTAGATTCTCTCATCCCGCCACACCCATTCATCCGTATCTACATTTGACAACGATTTCTTCAATACAATATTGTTTATTGAAATTTTCCAGAACATGCCTGGATCAGAAACTGACTTTTCTGCTGTGGCTCTTGGTGACTACATTTATGTTCTCATGATTGATCGATCTGTTCATCGGCTGAAATACTCAGATCATGAAGCTACTTGGGAGAGAATTAAAGATATGATGTATGACCATGGGCCTTGTCCTCCTGTTGCTGTTTTATTAGGTGAGAAGTTGCCTCAAGAATTCTTAGTACTGGTCTGTTTAAGCATTTAATGAAAAACATATTTTAATAGCATTTGATATCTAATTCCAGTTCAGCTTTGTATTGTAACTATATCACTTCATTGTGGGTGACCCAAAATTCTTCTGAGCGCTCTGTACACCAAATACTGATAATTTTATTCTGATTTGTAAAACTTGTCACTTAATCGAAGTGTAAAAATACAAAATATATTTTCATATTACCACCATTGAAGAATTATAACACAATCTATCTGTGTAAGAAATCGTTGTTGTTTCATAAGATCATATATTGCATACATATATAAAAATTGCCGAATTAATTAGGATTGAGTTACCTTGCTAAAACACACAGATCCGGACTTAAAAAACCAAAGGACTCGAGTTTATTATACAAAACACTAACACTCCTGTTTTAAGATTACTAGTTACATGTTTGAATATATCTCAATGTTTTGTCATTGTGTTATCTATTATTATGACATATGTTCTTTACTTTATCTTCTATTATTTTTCAAGTATCATTTGCTTTCTACCATTGGTCTGTGATATGAATTGTTTACAGGAAACCTATACGTTGTTGGTCATTTAGATGGTCACACAAAATCAGTTGAAAAGTTCGATCCATCAAGCAACAAATGGGAAAAAGTAAAAGACAAAAATCTCAACAGTCGTTATTCAACAGCACTGGGTGCTAGAGGTTAGAATGTGTTGTTTAATAAATGCCATTTACGTTGAATTGGCGCGAAACAGGCAGGCCGGCATACAATAGGGTAATGAATGGAATTGTCACTGGGCCATATAACCAACTTCAGAAATCTAGCTGGACCAATAAATGCTCTGCTTTACAGTAATAAAGGCACCGGACAAGACGGCGAAGTATTTAACGCATCAAAAAGAGCGTAAAACGTGTAATTTTACCCATGTGAGCGACTATTTAAACATGAACTGTCGGATTAGCTCTTTATGCTTGATGGGGAAAAATCTAAGTGTTGACAAGGGCCACATTAAATAGCTTTGCCTGTTGCAAACCGCTGGTCTAAACCAAACAAGGAAAAATACCGTTTGTAACAGACCAGTAGGTCGTTTTGTATCAGTGGTTGCTTTCACAAAGTGTTTTCTTGAAGCAAACTTGCAATACACTTCGGTAACTAAAAAATGATTGCCAACAGATATCGGATTTATCAGTTTGTCCTAAGTTTTCATCGAATACCAGAATGCAGAAAACGCTTGAAAGTAATAATCCTTGTTTAATTCCAGGTTGTATATACAGCATTGGTGGATTACTATCAGTTTTTTTTTACACCAACCAAGTAGAAAGATTTGACCCAACATCATCAACTTGGTCATTTGTTGCATCCATGAATGAAGCAAAGGAATTTGTCGCAGCTGTTGAAAATGAAGGAAAAATATATGTTCTAGGTAGGTTTGTGTTTGTTGCTAAAAATGTGCGAACCTCAAGAAAAAAATATTTAGTTTTACTTAAAATAGCAATTAACCAGAAAATTTCAATGCTTCAAGATATCAAATGCAATGCAAACATGTTAAAGCATCGTCATGAACTAATAATATTTCATTAATGTTATTCTGCAAGATTGCAGAATTATATTGTTATGTGGCAAATCATGTTCAAATGTTTGTATAATTATATATTTACGAATGCAAAGGTCAATCCGATTGCCGTGCAACTTGTAAACTCATAAATATATTTGGTACTATTGCGCCCTTCTTACTAGAAATATTAACCAGTTAGTGTTTGGAATTAGGAGTGATATTCAGACATTCTGAACAGGTTCCAAAATCTTCAGTTCAGGCTAGTAAAATTTTCCGCATTATATTCATCACCTTGCAGTTGTTACCTGCCATCATGTTAGTTCACTATTCCATTTTTATTCATTTATTGCTTTGTCTTGTGTAGCTGAGATTGTCAAAAGATGGATAAACATTGTTTTGTATCATTTTAGCAAAATTGCAAGCAGATATAAACAAACTGTTTATATTATTCAGGTGGATATGCGAACAATCACTTGAAAACTGTTGAACGATATGATATTTCAACAAACTTGTGGTCCATGGTAACTCCCATGTTAACGAAGCGGAGCTGGTTTTGTGCTTTTGTGATTGATTCAGATATTTACGCAGTTGGAGGAAGGAACAGGTAGAGTTATTGAAATTTATTACAACATGGTAGGCACTAGGGCAGGGGTTCCAAAGCTTTTCTCAGGACGACCCCAAAGACAACTTTCAAGTGTCCAGTGCGACCCCAGGTCAATATATATTTTTTCCATGTAACTTTAGAGCTCTTTCACTGGACTTTGGAGTTTGGTCGTGTGGTGGTAATAAGTAAAATAAGCTAAAACATTTAAACTTTTGATTTTAATTAAAAATACCGAAATAACAAAAAAAAAGTTTTAAAATTGAAAATTTCTTTTATTGGGAATGGTCACTGTTTAATTTTAATCAGTTTCCTGTATCTGGGGATGTATGATGTCAGGCAGCATACCAAAGAATTTTTCAAGTTTATGTTTGTTATGCGGCTGCGATAATCACTTTTAGTAAACTTTTACCATACCTCAGCGACCCCACCGACACCATGACCTATTTGCGACCCTACCTACTTATCACTCCGATCCAATTTGGGGTCGCGACACGGGGCACCCCTGCACTAGGGTCTTCTGTTTTGGAGATTTTGTTCTGAAATACTTATTCCCAAAGAAATATTTGTTCCCCTGTATTCATCACTATAAGTGTTGGGCCAATCTAGTGTCTATATTGTCGATGCTCACAGAAATAAACTGAAATCTTTATATTTTATTCATAACTTTGGATAGATAATCGCTTTTGGTTTGAGCTCTTTGTGCGGATAGAAGAAGCAGTATAATCATATATATATATATATATATCACTATGAAGTTTGAATCAGAGTCTGCCACCTGCGGTAACCGGTCATTTTTACTTTTTTCGTATCTTGAGTTACTGTAGAATTTAAAAATCTATTTTCAATGAGTAGCCTAACAACCACTTTACAAACCATTTGTCTTGTAGAACTGATATCTTCTCTGTATTTTTTTCAGTTCACCAGGAAGCATGGAAAAGTTTGATTTCAAGAAAGTTCAATGGGAGATGATTGACACGAAGAACATGAATCTGGCGATACTCGATGCAGTAAAAATTAATTTGAAGTGATTTGATTGTATATGACAGAGAACACAGTTCCTTGTGTTACCATTTAAGGACATAATAGTAGTTTATGTTTGTATTCTTACTATTATGGAATTGTATGATAGATATTTGACATTTAATAGGTGCTCGTGTTACCACTGAGTAAATTTTTTAAACTTCTATAGTGATTTCTTGCATTACTTACCGTAAATAATTTAAATAGTTTTCTTAAATGTAATTACTCAATGACATTGCCTAGAAACTTCAACTCACTGGACATAGCTATGTTTACTACTGATGTGAAGAAATTTTTTTAAATGATTTGTTTGTGTTATTAAATACCCTATATTTGTTTGTAGCATTTTTTTATGTGAATTCCGATTATGCCAGTGTGTAGTCGGACAGAATTGATGCCCGTATAAAAAAAGATTGTTGGTTGATGGACATTCTGACTCCTGCTCTCAACGACAGGAAAACAGAGTTTATAAATCTTACATTGGCCTCGACTCCTCAGCCTTGATTTGGCTTGCCTATCATTTAAAGTTAATTTTTAGCAAATTGGAGTGGGATTCTATATCCTTGTTATACAAAATTTGTCACCAAATATCATAAATCGTTGGAAGCGAGTGTTATATACAGTCAGTGGCCAGTGAAAATTAAATTATTAATCCCATTCAGTTTTTAATGCCATTGGATATTATCTGGATATGAAATATTGTCTTGTGCATTCTTCAAGCGGTTTCTTCTTCAATTGAATTCAAATATAATTTCTTGATTAAAATTCGTGAATGAATTGCAATTTATGATTTAGCAGATGCCTTTTCCGCACAATATAATATATTCAATATAGTTTTACTTTAAACAAACCTTTTCCAGTGCTTTTTGCAAAATACTTATACAATAAATTGCATTCATCTGTAAGTATGTATGTTGTGGTTATTAAAGTTTATTTCTGCTTCCAATATATTCGATGAGTAATTTTTTTTCATCTTTGCTGTATATTTTATCGCATATATGCAATCAATACTTTACTACCATGCATCTAACACTGAATTCAATTCTTCACTTTTTATCTGTTTTGAAAATCCACTACATGATCCGCCTCTCTGTCTTTTAATCACATATTTGAATTGATTACGTTTGATGCATTCCAAATGTTTGAACTTTACATTGTTTCTGCGACAAACCTAACCTTTATTAAATAAGTCGCAGAAACAAACGAATTAATTAATTTGTCCATTGTAGTGTCTCGCCTCTATCTTCAATGTTTTTTTTATCTTGCTAAGCTTTCCCCAAGGCAACACACGATATGAGGCTTTTACTGCTACAATTCAGTATGCACAAAAGTAACTGATACAACTTAATAAACAGCGAATAACACCTTACAATAGAACCAGCACGAGCCACGCCGTCAATGTCCTTCTGCTCCCCTTGACATATCGCGCAGGACTAAATCAATCATGCAATTCATGACCATCGGACCATGAACACTACATCCCTCCTTTTGTTACGAGTAGATGGTAAACTAGACTTATTTCATTACAAAGTCTTTAAATCTGGAAGGCAGTTTTCGTTCTCGCCTTGGACGCTCATAAGGCTGAGTAATTGATTCCTCCGAATTTGGCCTGGTCGCGTTTGGAGCAATTTGCGACTCTGTGGCTTTATTGTCAATTTCATTCTGGGCGTATTTCTTTACAAATGTTGAATTGCGACGAAATTCTTTTCCATTTTCATCTCTGACTGTGACTTCCCCTCCTTCCTTCTTGACGACTTCACACGGAAATTTATTGAAGTTTGTCGACATCTTGTCAACTTTCTCTTGCTTAACGAGCACCGAATCTCCGACCTCAACATCTTGTAAAATTTATCTTCTGTTGTAATCGGAGTACAATTTCCCTTGTAGCTTTTTCTCCAGTCTCTGTCTCGGTGTTCTTCGCCGATTATGTTGTATTTTGGTCGGATTTCTGGAAGCTTTGTTCTCATCTCTCGACCAAACATCAAGTTGTATGCGGTGTAGACCTGTATGCAAGTAGAAATTTGTTTAATTCAGATTTCCAATCTTTACCTTCTACTTGGGCTATTCGTATGGCTTTCATTAAACTTCGGTTTTGTCTCTCCACCTCGCCGCTCGCTTGTGGCCACAATGGAGTAGTAGATTTATGTTGAATTCCATGTTCGTCTAAAAATGATTTGAATTCATTAGATACAAGCTGTGGTGCATTGTCAGTTCTTAACGTAAGTGGAATTCCGTAACGTGAAAATATGGTGCTCAACGCTTCAATTATTTTCTTACTTGTTGTCGACCGCACAATTACAATTTCATAAAAACGACTGTAGTAATCTACAATTACCAGTATGTTATCACCAGAAGGCAAAGGTCCTAAAACATCGGCAAAACAATCTATCCAAGGTCCACTGGGTGGTCGTGTTCGCGTCATTGGTCCAGGCGGACTATACGAACTTGTTACCTGACATCCATTACATTTCCGTTCAGCATCACGATCAATGTTTGGCCACCACACTTTACTTCGAAGTCGATTTTTGGTGTTCCTTCCCCACAATTCCTTGGTGTCCTTCATGTGCAAGCTCTAGAACACGTTTTCTGAGTATCTGTGGAATTACAATTCTCGTACCACGTAAAATTAATTGACCATAAATACAAAGTTCATTCTTCACATGCAAAAATGAATTGCCACACTTTGACCAATTATGTGATTTAATGCAATCTCTCACAATTTGCAATTCAGGGTCTTTAGCAGATGCCTGCTCAATTTCATGTGGCGTCAAAGCAATCGGGCAACTACTTTGCACAACCATTCGTATGAAGAAAACATATTCCGCTGTTGTATCACGCTGGCCAGGCACATTAATTAAGACGAGATAATACATCGGCAATATTACTCTTACCCGGTCGGTATACTACATTGAAGTCATACGCTTGTAATCGCTATACCCATCGTTCAATCCTTGCTGAGGGCTTTGAAGTTTTAGAGTATATGCATTCCAAAGGTTTGTGATCGGTTTCAAGTTCAAATTTCCTGCCAAAAATATACAAGTTAAATCTCTCACATGCCCACACTATAGCTAAAGCTTCCTTTTCCGTCTGGCTATATCGTCTTTCTACGTCTGACATTGTCCTCGAAGCATACGAAATTACTCTCCAAATTCCGTCTTGCAATTGGGTTAAAGCGGATCCTAGTCCTGTCGGTGAAGCATCTGCAATTATTCTTGTCCTGCAGTCAGATCTGAAATAAGCTTATGTGTTTGCATTAGTTAATGAACGTTTCAATCTTTCGAATGAATTTTCACACTGCTTACCCAATCAAATTTAGAATTTTTCTTAGTCAATGCACGTAAAGGCGCTGCAATCGAAGAAAGGTTTGGTATAAACTTTGCACAATATTGAACAAGACCCATAAAAGATTTTACTTCTCTGGCATCTTTTGGTCGTCGTGCATTTCTTACTGACGCCACCTTTTCCTCACAAGGATCAATACCTTGACATGTGAGCTTATGACCAAAAAACTTGATCTCAGGAAGTCGAAATTGACATTTCATACCATTCAGCGTTAGACCGGCTTTGTCCAACTTATCAAGAACATCAAATAATCTTTCATCATGTTCCTTCACATTCCGCCCATGGATAGTGATGTCGTCCGCTATGTTTGCGACACCCCGACAGTTCTTCACAACGTCTCTGATTATTTGCTGATACTTTTCTGGTGCAGATGATAAACCAAACATAGTCTTTTGTATCTAAAAATTTCATTATTAGTTACGAACGTTGTGATATATCGGCATTTCTCATCAAGCAATATTTGATGAAACCCCCATTTCAGATCGAACTTCGAAAATACGGCGCTTCCGCTCAAGTCGTGGAGTAAGTCTTCAACAGTCGGTATAGGTTGCCTTTCACGGAGTATGGCTTGGTTAGCTCGGCGCATGTCAACACAAATTCTAATATCTCCATCCTTTTTATGATCTACAGTTAAAGGCGAAATCCAGGTACTTGGACCTTCAGGCGCTTTTTCGATTATGTCTGCTTTCAGAATTTCATCTATTTTTGCATCTACTTTGTCTCGCAACGCATTTGGTATACGGCGCAGAGGTTGAGCAATTGGTTGTCAATATTCAAAGTCAATTTGTAATCTTTTAAAAGGCCAATTCCTTCATTCAATTTTCCATACTTGGAAAATATATCAGAATTTGAAGTATCAATAGTTTTGGAACTCACTGCATTCACGGGCCCCACTCTTAATACATTAAGTTTTGTTGCAGCTTCTTTTTCTAACAAAGTTTGACAATTGCCTTTGACAACAACAAAATCAGTCCCGACATTTACTTTCATTATTCAAAACGAAAACATTAGCAGTAACGTACCTAAGACCTGAAGTGGTTTAGTACTTCCATAAGCGTAGAGTGATGGTATCGAGCATTTTCTCGAATTACACACAATTAGAATAAATGTCGTTCAAAAGGAATATTGGATTTCGGAGTAAAATATTCATCAAGTAAATTTAAAGTTTCGGTAAATGTTTTCTCTTCATCGAGTCCCGCTAAAGTATAAAAAATATCTTGTACCTTTACACCAGCGGTGAACAAAAGCAAAGCTTTCTTGGAGCTATCTTCCGTCGTTCCCTTGGCCGTCAAATATAATTTAAATGAACGTCTCCAACGTTGCCACCGTTGGGAAATACCGTGCGGGTCTCCATCGGAATCAAATGGTTGCATGGTTCCAATGTAATTCTGCATGATCTTGGATGGCTATATTCCTGCTATATAGAATAGATCTGTTTCAATCAAAAAAGTTACCAACGATTTCCTTTATCGTCCAAGTCCAGCAGGTCTTCGCCAATTGTAATTCGATATATTCCAATATCCTCGTCGCCAGTTGTAGTGTCTCGCCTCTATCTTCAATGTTCTTTATCTTGCTAAGTTTCCCCAAGGCAACACACGATATTTGCACACAAAATAAGAGGCTTTTACTGCTACATTTCAGTATGCACAAAAGTAACTGATACAACTTAATAAACAGCCAATAACACCATACAATAGAACCAGCACCAGCCACGCCGTCAATGTCCTTCTGCTCCCCTTGACATGTATCCTTGCGCATTTATATCGCGCAGGACTAAATCAATCATGCAATTCATGAACATCGGACCATGAACACTACATCCATTTCTCAAATTCCACGTCAATTTGGAGGATTGCTTTGGTTTTCAGCGAAAATTTGTTTCGTTAGTTTCAAGTGGGAATTTATTGCTGTTGAACCTGGAAAAGACGATTGCACTTTAAAATGTACGTTATTGTGACAAAAAGTA